ATCTTACACTGTTCATTTCATACATTTCGAGTTCACACAACCTGATGCTAATTAAAATACAAGTGCCCAAGGCCTGGCCACTTATCAGCACAAAGAAAACACAGGGACTCTACTCAGCCACCCGACATTAATGCAGCCAGAAATGCTCAAATGTGAGCCCCTCTGCTAAATATGATCGCAATGTAAATCTTGTGGTGCCGTGTAGCCAGACAGAATATATTGTACATTCCACAGCTGTTTCTTCAAGGTCACATTTTTCTGTCAAAGAGACAAATCCATAAACAACGAACTCATTTATGTGTCTCCAGTAAATCATCAGGCCTCGTGCTACGAGCTAAAACTTTAGCATAAATTATTGTAACATAGCAGGCTGGTATAAAGTAAGAAGACTGACCTTTTAGTAATTTACTGTATCTGATGTAGACTGCATACACAGAACAGACAGGATAGCCTAAGGTACACCTGCACCTTTACCCATATGTAAATCTGCCTCTTGCGCTATTTCCCCTAATGCAAATCACAGAAGCAGACGCTCCCTCTGTAAACATACAAATACACCCTCGGTTCCCCACAAACACATGCCACACACACACACTCAGCTCCAAGTATTAACATACCTGTGGAGTTTTTTAAAACTAAGAAACTCAAATTTTCATGTCTTTGCTGGCAATTCAGGGCCATGAAATGAAAATCTCATGGATCGTGATCAAGAAAGCTGACGCACTGCGAGTCCCCTACAGCGTCATTGTTCTTGTGAGACGGGGCAATCACAGAGGGAAGTGATGTTTCTCTGTGTCGCGTGTCGTATGACTGACCCCCCCAGGTGTTGTCTCCAGAGCTGAGAGGTGCGTTAGTGCTGCGGTGCCTCCGACAGTGGAATGTCTGATCGCAGGTTACACTGATTCCTACAGGTTTTACATCAGCCTGCTCCAAATTTCTATTACAGGTATGTTGACAGGCCACGTGGTAAGATGTAGTTCAAATGTTCAGCAAGCCATTAAAAGGAAGTAAGGCAATGATTGCTACCACAAACTGGCAGATGGCTTATTTAGTTTGACATTTTGAAAATAGATTTTTTTTGGCTGCTTCCATAACATCACAACTCAGTGAAGGAGTGAGACAAATAAATTGCTTTAAGATTTTAAATGAAGTCCGTACATTTTCCTGAAATTATCTGGAGGGGCTGTATGTGAGAACACAAACCTCTGAGTCAACTGATTTGGACATTTTCTGGAACTTTTCCTGCAAGCTCCCTTATAAAATATTCAGAAAATGGGAGAATACAGCAGGGAAATATCATATGCCGCCAAAGATGTTGACTTAGAGAGATGAGGATAATCGAGAGCTTTTGGTGTTGAGGGCCAACGGCAGTGTCGATGCGCTGTAAACAAAAACACATGATTTCTGCAGCACAATTTGTACATAGTTTCCTGTTTCCTGCATGTTCAACCCAGGTGCAACCCCTCCAGATAGTTTCCTGCTGCGTTCTTCATATACCAATAGCAAAGTTTTTAAGATGTCCTAATTTTTCAGACATTCTATAGAGTACGTGTCAAAAAAAACGTTTTTTCTCTTTTGTTTCTTTAAATTTCAGCTTCGATTGGAAGTGAGGTGGTTTAACTGCCAATAGAAAACAGTGACATGAAAGCAGGGCATGCACTTGAAGCAGGTATTCATGAGTAATATCATAACTGACAATATACGAGTCTGGCTGAGGTACTGGTAGAGTCTGGCTGAGTACCTCTGTTGCATTCCCTTTCTCCCTTATAGTTTGTGAAGATGTACTGTAAAACATCCATCACTGTGCTGGACCACTGTAAAATGAGAAGCAGCACATAGATGTCCTGCAGAACTGTCGATTGTCATGGTTGACCGTTCAGCAAAGTCAAAACAGGGCCACCATCTTTGCGGTAGTTTGCATATATACAGTGGTTTCTATGTATATTTAAATATAGAAGAAGTGTTTCTATCACCTTGGAGTCTTTCTTGCATTGTTAACAGAAGAAGTGAGCAGCAGCTGGGTTTACCTGCAGATACGCTTTATAAAATTCAAACTACATCATTCAAAATTGTGGAATGTCTTCCAGCCCCATTAATATTTTATCAGCCGCACCTCTACTTCACCCACCCACCTGTAGGCTCTTTTTGTAGTTTCCCCCTGAGGGGAGGGAATTTTATTATTTTTAAACCCCATTCATTCTCTGTGCAGACTCAAGATGGAGATGAACATACTTGGCAAACACAAAACCATAAAATCTTTCCATACAGTTGACAATGATCATTACAGCCAATTCCCACACTTTTTAGATGATGATGATGATGTTCTGATAGTTTGATTGTGAACTGATCACAAGGATCGAAATTCCAAAACTTCAGATCTTTCCACTAAATGTGAATGTGTGCTGTGCTTCTGTAAAGCTCTGAGGTCTACTTTATGCTTAGATTGTTGTGAAATTGTATGCATTCATATACAGTAACTGCAAAGCACTTTGGATGAGTGTCTCACCAATTCACATTATGCATATATATTGTGTATGCATGCAAGATGGAGGACACACGAGTAAATGCAGTGATGCACAAACCCACAAGGACACTGAGCATGACACACACACACACACACACACACACACACACACACACACACACACACACGTATGCAGCAAATACTGAATAAATAAACCACTGATGCAGAGGACTAACTCAAGGACTATCTCTCTCCGTTGTCTATCTTTTTTTTCTCTGTTTCCCTCCATCTCTCTGCCTTCACAAAAAAATAAACCAGGTGTGCATCTGACGTTCCCTCCTCCCTCTACCTGTCACCTCAGGGATGGAGGAATGAGTGAGGGAGAGTGGGGGAGGACGGGAGAGGGGTAAGAGAAAAGAAATTCCCAGAGGAGTCGGGAGTAAAGACATTCCTGTGGTGTGTATTGTAAAAATCCCTCCCTTTATATCCCGCCCTAGTAGAATCAGGTCCAAAATGCCCGGGGGCAGATTATGACCCTGAAACTTACACACACACAGACACACAGAGACACACACACACACACACACAAGAGCAAAAGTCTTCCGAAACAGCTGGATAAAGACATCATCTGTCACTGTTGTCAGCTGACACCCCTCGAAACACCAAAATGCACATGTACACCAGCGCGTGCGCAGGCATCCCCAGATGCTTGCTATCTGAAATGTGTGTGTGTGTGTGTGTGAGAGAGAGAGAGAAAGAGATAGTTGAAAGCCACCCTCCCACCTCCAGTAAATCACATGGACAAACAAACATTCGTCCTTCGCTCTCATCTCTCTATAATGGTAGGATAGAGACATCATCTGTCACACTCAGCTGTCAACTGTCCAAACACAGCCGCCCACCTGTCCACACACGTTCTTACGCACGCGCGCACACACACACACACGCACGCACACACCCACACCCACACACACCATAATATTTCTTTCTGTAAACACTCCAATTACCTGAGAGCAGCATGAGGTCTGGGGGAAATTGCTGCTTCATTATCATAGCAGTTATTACGTTAACCCACAAGTCAGGGCCACACACACAATTGTAATGCAAAGGTTACACTATATAGGGCTGTCAGCACTTCCATAGGTAAATGGAGGAGGTCATAACAATAAAATACATGCATTCAGTATGTGAAGCAAACACAAGTGCTCATGATAATATGTATTTCAGCTCTATATGTATAAGCATTTGCCAGTGTGCATGTGTGTGTGTCTTTATGGTTGGAGACAAATTTTGGTCACAAACTTTAAAGGGCTTTTAATGGTTGAGACTTGGGTTTTGTGGTTTTAGATTTAGGTAAGGGTTAGGATTAAGGGTTGGCGTAAGGTATTTACTTGAGAGTATTAAGGTTAGAGTAAGAGGCTACAGATTGCATTATGTATGTGTGTGTGTGTGTGTGTGTGTGTGTACACATACTTGCAGACATGTTGGACAAGTTGGTGCCATTTTAAACAAAACCAATTTCAGACCAACACAGTCAGTGCCCTTGCCTGTAATGTATTGTCCAATATTCCGTAACTATGTTAAAGCGCAGCTCTAGAGTGTCTCAGCTATTACTGCTAAGTGGCTAAGTGCTTCCAAATACACCTCATCCTGTGTGCTGGTTGTTTACGAAGAAAAATCTACGTAAGTAAAAGAAAGTGACGTCAGAAAGGACGAGTGATATCCTGTGATATAAGACCGAACAGACTTTTGTAAAGATTTTAGAACTGAGTACTTCTCAGTGTGCATACTAGACTCTACTGAGCAGCATCTTTTGAGCTTGTATGAAAAGGAGTTCAGACACTGAAGTGGTAAACAAAGTTAGATCCACTAAGCTTCAGTGCTAATTATCACTGAAGCATAATCACTCTATCTTAGAGTCCAAGTGACAACTGATCGGAAGTTGAAGAAATTCTGGAGATATCACATTCAAGAGGCCAAATGTTTTTGAGGTCACTGTGACTTTTACCTTTGACCACTGAAATCTAATCAGTGATTTAAGTGAATTGCACCTGATATAATGAAGTTCCATCCCGGCAGTCCATATAATACATTAACAGCAACATGAGGTCACTTTGTTCATCTGAGTCAAAGTGAAAGTTTGTCCTAAATTTGAAGACACTCCCATGAGCTGATCTTAAGATATCATCTTCAATGACCTTTGGCTACCAAAATGAAATCTGCGCTCAAATGAATATTTGAACCAAATCTCAAGGCATTCTTGATATATCGTGTTCATGGGAACGGGAAGGACAGACGGACAACCCCGACAATACTGCCAGCATGGAGGCATAAAAACATTCAGCAGCAGCTCCTCTTTTTTAAGCCGATGCAGAGCGTTGCAGTTCTGGGCTAAATTACATAATCTTTCCACCGGGAAGTGACATGAGCTTTCACTAGTTAAACTTGTTGTGTGTGCTCTTTGCGCGCTTATGAAAGATGAACCACAACTGTCTAATAACATTGTACAGGACTGTAAATAAAGATGGAGACTGACCTGTTCAATTCCCTCTGAAGCATCGGAACATTGGAAGCGTACAGACTTTCGTGAACCATCTTCTTCTTGATGTAGCACCTTTGAAATAAGGGGAAGAAGAAATCATTATATTCAAATGCCAGTGTTTTTTTAAGTGTAGTTCACCACAGGCTCATTGTGCCCTCTGCTTTCAGCAGGTCAGGTCAAATCAAGCTGCATAGACTGTAAATAAAGATGGATGACATGATGGGTCCACAAAAGTGAAGCCAAAGTGTGTTGATTGCTCCCTGAAAGCATCAGCTAAATGACATGTAATGTAATGTGGAAAACAAGCTCCAGTTTTAAAACGTGCAAGGGAGTATTTCAGACAGGGACAAGGGGTGTAACCATTCTCATTATTTAACAAAACTATTGTTTCATTTCACTATTAACTATATCACACATGAAAAGGGGTATCTAGTCTTGTGTCTAGTGCCTCATGTCTTTTTTGGTCCAATCCTGGTTGAATGATCATGCCTTTGTTAAAACTCAAAATGTTCGAAGTTGGAAACATTTTGGTTAAACTGAGAGGCTCTAACTCTAACTTCAATTCATAAAAATGGGATACACAAAATATTAATGTTTGGGTACAACCCTGTGCAGTTCAACAGCTCCACAAATACAACCTCCAACATGACTCAATATAAACACAACTTTATTGTCCTCATGAGGAGATGATATTTTATTGTACTGCATTAGTTTTAGTTCACGCATTAATAATAATGATAGTAGTACCATTTATGCTTTGAGGGTTGTGGGAGGCTGGAGCCATTATTACTGTTATCATTGTTATTATTATTAAATGCCAGTAATGTTGATATGAATTTGAAGCGAATACATTTAAATCTGGGATATTTTTCTATTCAAATAAATAAAATAATATTTACTCCTTTGTGGCTCCTTGCATCCCTTAATAAAGACAGATTAGTCTATTCAAATATAATTGCAAAGTTCTTCATGCACTCCTAACTTTTTCTACTGAGGAGCTCATGTGTTCCGTGGGGAAAAAAAGTAAGCACCAAACTTTGTCAAGTCCCTTTCTGTATTTTCCAGCAGCCACCACATTGACAGAGACGTCATTAAAACCTGGCCACCTGCGCCTAGTCGGTGCAGGTTCAACAGAGGATAGTTTCCCCGAGACTGTGCTCATAGTCCAGGTAGTTCTGGAAACCTCCCTGGACTGCGATTGGCAACAAAAGAACTCCTGTATTCCCCCTGGACAATGATTTTTCAGTTGTGCTGGCGCAGCTCTGAGATAATGTGAAATTGAGTGTAGAGAGCGCTATGGCTCAGCAAGATCTACTTTTGAGCAGTGTTTAGCCCTCTCTGACGGTGTTGGCTCTTTCATTCAGTCTACGGATTTAGCAACCCAGACACACATTCAATAACATCCTGATCACCGTCCAACCCTAATATGGGCTCCATAAAATGCTCCACTGCCAGCCCAGCTCATAACGTTAAACATGGCCACTGGGAGGAGCGAGTAACGCAGGGATCACATATTTTCATAGTCCCCTGACCTTGACGATTGAAAGTTATTTGTTTTAGGATAATTCTCAAGTGTATTAACAGGCCCAGTGTTTCAGGGGGCTGCTGGTATAAACACAAGCTGTGTTTAAGTTTGAATGGGCCTAAGCATTCCTGAATGACAGCGAAAGGCAAATAGCTTGGTCAAAGCTGCTGGCAAGCGAGACAGTAGAAGAAAATATTGAATCTGCCCAAATATGGAAACAGCCATAAAACAATCACATCAACAGCAGGACTCTTTCAGGACAAGCGTTTTTGTGGGCGTCCAAGTGAGGGGATTGAAATGGCACACATGCTTGCACTCTCACACATACTCATTTGCACAGGCACACATGCACACACACACACAGTGTTGGACAGTATCTCCATTTAAACAGGGGAGTAGAGGGAGAAAGCACATAATGGCAAAACAAAAAGCACCAGAGAGACAATTAGCTCTTGCTTATAAAGCCACAATGAAGTGTGTGGGAGTGTGTGTTTGAGAGAAAGAGAGCGTGTGTGTGATTTTTTTATGTTTATGGGATAGTTTGTATAAATGAGCATACATGTGCCAAACTGAAATGTGTGTGTGTTTGTACGTGTCAGACTGTGCATGCATTGCAGCAGGCTTTATGTATGCATGCCAGTGTACTTGTTTGCTCATCAGTCAAACGCACACCACTTGTGCGTGCATGGTGGCCATCACTCTAAAACACACTCAAACACACTGACACAAACACAAACACGCACACACACACACACAAAGACAAAAACACACACTGGTTGGCATCTGGGTTGGCATTTGCATTGGCAGCATGGTACCAGTGTCTGGTATCCACACAAAAGGGAGAATAAGCTGTAACCCAGACCCAGCCCTTGGTGAGCATGTGTGCGTAGTGTCTATCATCAAGACACACAGTCATCATCCTTAGTGGATTGCGTAATAGCGCGCTTCAGCATCGCTTTCTCTGGCGCAACGTGCCACAATGACAGCCAGACAGCAAGCGCTCAAGTCCTGGAGAGGTGCACCTGGCCGGGACCAAGCATGTGTGTGTGTCTGCATAGTTGTGTTGTGTGTGTGTGTGTGTGTGTGTGTGTGTATGTCTCCTCTTTCTGCGATTGGGTGTGTAGCAATGTGGCACAGGTATAGGTCTGAAACCCTCCCAGGTGTGTATAATGTTTTCCAGCTCAGGCTGTGTGATATCACACACACAGATCCACACAACAGCCACCGTTACACAGGTGTTGCAGTGCTGATATGCTTTTGTGTTCTCACACAAAGACAGATTTATACAAGTTACATATCTTTCACACCTTAAACCACTCATGATGAGATCTGTGTGTGTTTGTGTGACTGTGGAGCGGAAGACTCAGGTGTGGATTAGCAGGCTGGGGCTCAGGGAGCAAGCTCAGCCACTCCTGGGGGGGTTGGGGTGGGGTGAAGGGGGTTAATTAACAATGGATGCACAAGTACACACTAGCACACACACACACACACACATACACACACACACACACACACACACACACCACTGATTCATGGCAGCAGACCTGTGTGTGGGTTCATCCCCAACGGAAAATAGGTGTAGGGCATGTGTGAATGTGAAGGTGTGTGATGGGATGGTACAGATATAGAAAGTAAATTGGAGCCAGACAGACAGGAGGGGAGGTAAGACGACAGCAGTGGAGACAGATGAGCGGAAAGACAGAAAGCAAAAGGTCAATAAACAGAGAGTAAGAATGGTGGGAGAGACAAAGAGAAATGGGCAGAGGAGCAAACACACCAAACCACGAAAAAGATGGAAATTAAAGGGTTTAAGAATTCACAAGATCTTGAAGAAGGAGGTGACGCAACGAGAGTCATCAGTGAAAGGAAGACGCAATGAGTAATTCTTTTCTATGGCATCTTGTTTCTCGAGCTGATGCACAATTTCATTCATTGATTACACATTTGTATTGATGGGAACAACATTGTCAAGTCAGGTTCGTTTTTATAGCGCAGCACCTCATAGTGTCTCGACAGGCTTCACAGACCCAGCCCGAGCCCTTTTTTGAAAGCCTTTCCATTACAGCAGTTATTTGTGTGACACAGGTCAACTGAATGAGTGTTTGACCCATTCATATGCGTCTGCTGTCAGAGTTACTCTTTTGTTTTCAGCACTCAGACTCCAATCTTTCAATTTACTTCTCATAATGATTCAACAAAAGAAGCACAGAGGAACAAAACAGGAACAATATTGGATCTCCATTCTTCCCTTATCTAAATTATCCAATTTGGTCATTTAGTCCTTTTCCTCCAGAAAAACTGCACAAAATGTTTAAGAAATTATTTAATAAATATCCTTTAAAAAATCTCTACTTCTTCAAAAAACTAAAAACAGCAAAGATCACCTCGTGGTGTACTCTGTTGGGCCTCGTTGGAGGTTTGAGCTCAGTGCCAGTCTAGTTACACATGTACCATCTTACACATCAACTGATCCAGAGGATGACAGTATAATGTGCTGCACATGCAACTTAAATCACAGAATTACATAATAAAACAACTAAATCTCTTTATCTCTTTACTGAGGGAGGTGGTTAAACAATTTTGAAATGTCAATATCCTAACAAAAAGTTTGAATCCCAAGTTTAACCCAAGTTGTGTAAGCAGTGCTGATTTAATATTGGCTTTGGTATTGGCTATTAAAGACAGCAGTTGAACCCAGCTCTCTTGCTTTTTCATATTCAATCATTAATGGGGAACTATTGATTCCTTTCTATCCAGTGACGCCAGACTAACAGCCTGTGTCTGTAAAGGTCAGCAAAAGTAATAAATTGATGAAAGCTCATTACCAGTAGAGACAGAGAGAGAGGCGAGAGAGCGGCGAGAGAGCGGCGAGACAGCGGGCTGGAGTGACAGACAGACTCGCTACATAAACAGGGAGGCCAGCATACGCACGGACAGTAGAAATACGGGTGGTGGACAAACTATATTGAGGTCATGGCGACAAAATGGAGGTGATTCAGGCATACCATCTCATATAGGAGAGCAGAGATAGAGGGAGCGAGCAGGGGAAGGCAGATAGCAGACAGTCAGTGGGGAAATTACTGAGGGGTGCAGAGCGAGAGATGCCGGCCCGGCACTGAGAGAACGGTAAAATGTCAACTCAACACACACATTATAAAGCACATAGATATAGGAAGGGATGGAGGGCTGGTGTAGAAGAGAGAGACGGAACCGCGGGGAATGAGAAAGTGTATCTTGTCTGTGTGTCTGCTGGTGCATATGCAAATATTGGTGAGTATAGCGGGGATTGCACTGTGTGTATCGTGTGTAGGGAGAAACAGCAGGGAGGCAGCCAAGCAAAGAGACAAGGAAGGATGAAATTTGATAGTGCCGATCAATGCAGGAATACTCACCCGACGGATTAAAGCCTTAATATCATTCTAATGGATATGCGCAAACACAACAACACTATCTCTTGGAAAGAGATGGGGTAAACTTACAAGGTACGTGTACACAAATGCGTATGTGTACACAAATGCACATGCATATGGTGGCTGAGGAATCTCAC